TGCCTCTGTCTCATGGATTAATGGCCTGTTTGTATCCTAACTGGATCACACAGACATAGAAAGGCTTTGGATGTGATCTCTTTGCCAAAGCAGCCATGTTCTGAGTTAAAATTCCTCTACACAGTGGAACAAATTTTAAACTTTTTATGAAGTTTTATATTTAAATATATATATGTGTGTGTGTGTGATATAATTCTGTAGCCCTGCATGAGAATTTTCCATGATGAGAAAGCCATGCCCCTCTTATATTAACAAGTTTGTAAATAAGTATCACAAATACTACTGACTAATAACTTTTCAAGGTAATATTTAAACATTATCTTACCCTCTTTGATAAAGTTGGTAATAAATGCCAAGGAAAGGAAGGAAACTGATATTAAAACCTCTCTAGGGTTTTCATTGTACTATACCTTGAATCAGACCACACAGATTCATACTGATAAACAAATGGCCTTTCCATCCTACAAAGCAAAATGTCATCAAAAGAGATATTCCTTTTCCTTTTATGTAAATATAAAATGTGGTACTATTGTACAAAGGGTTTGTATATGATGTTTTTGAATGAGCTAAGAACATAGCAAATGAGAGAGATAAAGCTGCTTCAAACATACAGAGAAGAAAAGAAGAAAGCATGGAATACTTAATGATACACAGTTGGTGCAGTACTTAATACACAGTACTTAATGCAGTTTATGCAGATAAGTTATAGCATATTCCTATTAAGCACAGAAAATAAAAAAAGACAAATATATAAAATAGGGATCTCCTAAAGTCTGAAAAACAATAGTTAACTATACTCACTCTGTTCAGAATCCACTGGAGCCATTTTTAAAATATAAATCAGTTTCTTTAAACCATTAGCAAAATTAATTTTGAAATGTAATTGAAATTAATAAACACTTTCAGAAATTATTTTAAACTTCCATAGAATTGCCAAGTTAATGACACAGGCAATTGGTAAATAACAGTAAAAATAGGTCTCTTTAAATTTAGACTATCAAGAAGATGCTACAGAGAGAATTCATTAAAAAAATTGTGTTTAATGGCCTACTGTAGCATTACACTTACCTAAAAATAGGCACCTGGACATTATGGCATGTGGGTACAGTCTTATTCCACTAATGTGGAACTAATGAGTTCTTTTGCTCAGTTCATGTCCACAAAATGGGCCATAGCAAAGAAACAGAATTCATTTGCTACAGTAACACAAGAAAACTACCAAACACACACACACATACACACACACACACACACACACACACACACACACAAATCCTACTCTAGTTCAGAGTATGAAGAATACATAAATAGATAGATAGATAGATAGATAAATAAATAGATAAATAAATAAGCCAACTAATTAAAACTGGCAGCCAATATATGAGAAAAATCCTCGTGAAGAAATACAGAAAGTTGTGTACAGTAATGCCATATATTTTAATGGCTATATGATTTTAAACTGTCCATATGCAGACAAGTGACTAAGTGACATTGTACAATAAATAATTTTTTTTAATTTGACCTTGGTACAGTAGTAGTCACTGTGCTCTATTATTCAAAATGCTACACAAATATACTCTTTGACTCCTAATAATGAATGTTCTAAATAAAATTCTAGAATATTTGACTTGACTTATGTTTTTTAATATGATTACAAAGATCCATCACAAATGTTCTTTTTATACCTTTAAAGGGATAAGAGGCAGAGGGGAAGAAAAAATTTCAGTTTTTTAAAGATATATTAATTATTCCTTAAAATCAGTCTTCAGATTAATTCACAATGTATATAACAGAACATGTCAATAAGTTTACACAGCACTGTTATATTAAAAATCATGAGAATATAAGAAATATTCAGACTTGATTCTTGTTCTCTCTTAAGGGTCCCTGTTTCATTTCATTCTATTGGTTGTTCCTTTATGATATGTACAATGACTATTCTCATGCTGAAGAGACTTTAGTATAATCATACATATACATGTCAACAATTTGAATGAATATTGTAAGACATAACTCATCAACATTTACAATAGTTTTAACACCATTGGAATGGATTTATTACTCTCCAATAATATTAAGTGTTTATTTCAAACACCTCAAGGCTAGGTAAAGCTAGTAGTATTTGCGATAGCATGTAAATCATTCACATGAAAACACTATGACAGCGTTGGAAAAGGGCTGACAATATGGTTCAATGGGTAAAGGTGTTTGCTACCAAGTCTAATGATCTGAGTTCAATCCCAGAGACGCATAAGGTTGAAGGAAAGAACAAACTTCCAAAAGTTATCCTCTGACCTACACATATATGTACATACACACTAAACAGACAAATAAATAATAAAAGGAAAATATCACTGATAAATATATTTAAAGTATGATGTAATGAGGACATATGATGAACACATTAAATTTGTTTTTGTTTTCTGTATTAGTTTCCATTAACTGAGATATCAATAAAGCTAAAAGATCCACTTTTAGTAAAGGATTAGAAAGATTCTCATTTTCCCTCATCTGAGGGGTGGGTAAGTACAAGGCATCATCAGCTGAAATGTACATTATTGAGTGAGACTTCTCCTCACACCCAATGCTAACAGCAGTCACATCAGCTAAAGGTAAAACACCTGAAGATGTAGGATCTGCTTGTGATGTGAAATACATGATTCTAACAAGTGCATCTTTCAAACATATTATTATACATACCACTAACGCCACAAAGCAAGTATTATACACTCCAAACTGCATACACAAAAGTCTATAAATAATATCGGAGGGTGGAAAATCTTTAAAATACTTAACTTTTCCTGAGATTTCAGTGGCCTGGTTTTCTAAGTACTTTCATTGCAAGAATTTCATACACTATGCCAAAGCTATTGAAAAAATAAGTAGACTATCACCAACTAGAAGCCCTTATAGGTGTCCTGAAAATGTTGGTAAAGAAGTCAATTCATTTGAGAGATCTCTGCCCCTTCAACTTCACCCTCCTTACCAATATACATTCATCACAGAAAAGGGAAATATTTACAAAACTTAGTTTAGTTATGTTTAAATATTATGTTTAGCTGTCTGGAGACCATGTTCTCAGGATTTATACAAGAAATCAAGGATTAAACTTCATAACAATTAGAAAACCACACTGTGTAAAATCAAAGACTTAGTTAAAGGACATTAAAATAGTTTCACTGTTGGTACTGAACTGAAATGACGACATCTCTTCCCAACACCTGGAACCAAAACCTTTTGAACTTTCACGTAAACAAACCAGGGCACACCAAATTCTCTGTCCGCTGCAAGGTACCACCTCTGTACAAAGGCACATGAGTGAAAAATGTGGAAAACGCCTGAGGACGCTTTGAAGCAGCTTGGGAGAAGTGAGAGCAGGAAAGAGGCTCTTCTCTGGGGTAAGTTTGTTTAGTGGAAAGTAAGCAAGTTGTCAGGGTAAAAGTTGACAATGTTGATTCCAACAGTTTGAACTGTGAATAAACATCCAAAGGGATTATGTTACTGAGAATTAGAAAGATTCCATTGAACTCAATAGAACACTTCTGTTTTCAAAGATAATATGCCTTTGAGCCATACTCTGAATCCACCGCTTAGGGTTAGAATTACCCTAAAGTCTTTTGTATGCCATAATAAAGAACACGGGGTATGACCCCGCTAACACAATCTTACAACATTAAAATAAGGTGGAACAAAGATATTTCGCTTTTAATTACTAAATTGGAAAAAGATAAATATGTAACTATGTGCACACTTTGGGGTAAGCTAAAGAAACCTGGAGAAAAACCTATGTTCTTCCCAAACATCAAAACCTAAATTCAGTCTCACTAACCAGTTTAGGGAAACATTGACCACGAATCATTTTTAGATTTTCCCTCCTTAATGACCTATCAAACAGCAAAAAACAGGCCCTACACTTATGAAATCCATCATCATCTTCTCTGCTCAGCAAAGCCACATTTAAATCTGGCTTTCATCTCGTGCTGTTGGGTTTCCCACCAGGTACAAGATGAGAAGCTGGGAGTCTCATGCTTTTCCAAAAGCACAACAATTTGGTTGCCATTCAGCAACTCCTGGTAAAATGCCAGGAAGCCCGTAAAAAAAAAGTTAAAATTTTCCTAACTTAGAGTTCACAAAAATAAATATGAGATGTTCATAGACTGTCAGAGAGTCTATCTTTTTCATTCTTAACCATTCATAAACAAAAGAAAGCACAGTTTTGACTTGTTAAAAGTTCATTCAAGTCATTAATCAAGTCTGCCTTACATGCTCTCTAGAAAGTGAAGGCAACTGAGGCAGTTCTTAATCCACCTTTCCCTAAATGACTCTCCCATTAAAGTCTACTGTGAACATCTTTACAAAGCCTAACAAATTATGCAACTTGCATGTTCTTTAGCAGAAAAGTTCTGAGGCAGCACTGCAAAATGTTTTCCCTTGCAGATCTGACACATATTTACTTCTAGAACCAAGGATGTGGGCAATTCAGTTAAGCTTGAACCCTCTTGGTGCTTAAAAAGAAAATCAAATCCCTCAGATACTTTCAAACATTATCAGGAATAGAATATTCTCAATTCTGCCTAGAGATCATTATCTTTTTTACATTTCATTTTTATATTTACTGAGTTCAGAGAAAGGACATAAGTAGAAAGAAGAAAATAGATACTTCTTAAAAAGACTCCAAATTTAGTAATCCTCTCAAACCTACTGGCACACACTTAGGAAGCTGTATTTTCATAAGACTTCATTAAATTTTCATTGGTTCTGTCATTTGGGAGAAAAAAAAACAACAACACAGAATCATCCATAACTTTAAAACAAAAACATTTGCAGACTTCAAGAAATATTTGTTAAAGGAAGGGAAGAGTCATTACAACCAAAAATGAGGTAGAGTGGTAAAGACAGGCAGGTGTGGGCTCATCTGGATGCCACACTAGTATCCCCAAGCACTAACTTGTTAACTAACAGGGGTCATCAATATATAATAACGCCCCAAATTCTATTACCTGTTAATATGAGGTTACTGTAAGTATTGGAGAATTGCTCCTTCAGAAGAACCAGCTGCATCTGAGCTGCCTTCTCTCTCTGGAGCTCCAGCATTATATCAGGGTGCTGGGCAATCTTACAGCCATTCTGTTTGTCCAAGGCAACATCACTCCGGACAATGTCTACAAAAAGAAAGAAGACAGGCAGTAGAAACAAAACAAAAAGTACATTCACATAAGTTTTTTGTTTTGTTTTACCTAATCTGACAGAATTTATAAATTACTAGCTTTTTAAATCAAACTGAAAACAGAGAAATAATAACCATGAGCGTTCTTTAGCTCCATACTGAATCCTGTACGTTTCTCTCTTTATTTCCCAATTCTTTGGCAATTTCTGGTCCTTAGCTCTCTCTGATCTAACTAAAGACTCCAATCAAACATGCTCCTTCTTAGCTCACCTCCAAGATTTATTTGCCTTTTGGGGCCTTTTCTAAACATCATTTTCAACTCTCCAGAAGGAATAATAAAACAACTTTGAATACTAGGAACTATGAAGTTAACTTCCTCTACCTATGCTTTAGGACCAGGGATAAATATTCTAAACATTTGGCTTATTTTCAATTCACTTTCCAGCCAGACCATTCATCCTAAGTTGGAGCTGCCATTCCACAGGTTGCCTGAGTAGGGACTCTCCTGCTGTATTTCATGTATTACTGGGGAAATAGTTTCAGTCTGACCAGGAAATCATTTTTTTCAATCCAGAAAAATTTCTGAGTCTCTAACGTAAGAAAGAAAGCTAGAGTCACCAAGGCCTCTCCCCTGCTGTTCATTAATGGCAGGTTGCCTTTTGTATCTCAGTGTGACTTTGTACTAAAAGCAAATATACCTTCCAGAAACATTCTTCCTCAAAAATAAACATTCATAGAGCATGCTTCCCAACCAATAGGAAACAGATTCTATATGCCATAATGTAAGAAAGTTACTTGTCTTTTTGTCAATTGAAATATAATTTGGATGATTTTAATGGGAACAAATGATAGTATCAATCTAAATAGCAATCCTAGAAACTTTCAAGTTTTTCACAGCTAATCAAAAGATTTTATGAAAAAGAACTTAAAAAAAAAAAAAGACTTTGACACTAATGGTTTCAAATGTGATCGAAAATGTCCATATTAAGGACAGTGATAGGAAAGAGTTGTCTCTTTATGCAGTCTCAAAAACATGTCTCAAAAGCAACTACTAGAAAATACAAGACATGGCATGACATGAATTGTGGAGTATTGTTCTGAACAAGCAGGCTTTTACTAGATTCCTCCCAAAGAATATCCCATCTATAAGTAGAGACTCAATACAGCACAGGTTAGGCTAGGTGACTACAAATACTAGCCACATTTGAAAAAAGTCCATTCTAGTTCTTAATTAAAACAAGAGCATTATTTGTACTTATGACTAAATATATTTGCACCAATTTATAGAAATAGGCAGCAAAATTAGCTAATAAATAACTTCTCAGACTTTATGAGACTTATTTACAGAAAATAATTAAATCAAAAGCACACACTTATACTGTTTTACAACTTAGTTTTGCTAAAACTTAGGTGGATACTTGAACATAAAGAAATAAAAGAAAAAGCCTACATCTGACATCTTTGCTCCAAGAAGGCACAAACTGGAAGGGAAAATCTAGAGATTACTGAATATTGACCTCTATAGCAAAATCAGGGGAGAAATTGAACAACTGGTGCAGTTGCTCCAGATGCAAAAGACATTAAGACAGGTCACTACTACTGTCTTTCAAATTACACAGTGATAACAAGCCTACAGGAGTAACCACAAAAAACCCACCATATATACTTTTTTGTTCATGAGATAGCTACCAGGAAGATCATACTCATGCGGGCCCCACAGACAAAGTAGATAACTCAGGTTCAAAAACTAAGCATTAAATCAGAACCCACTAAATATGCCTCAGAAGACACAGTAAAGCTATAATACATGGTTCAGTTAGAATAAAGCTCAATACAGACGAGTGTGGTAGCACATACCTATACTTCCAGCAGATAAAGACAGGAAGAATAAGCCAGACTCAACCACAGAGCAAGTTCAAGACAATCTTCAACTATATTGACCCTGGTATACACCAGAGAGAGAGAGACAGACAGAATGAGAGAGAATTAAGATCGGTACTACACCAATAAAAGAGAGAGAGAGAGAGAGAGAAGACCAAGAGGAGGCCATGCCATAACAAGACCTACAATTGAAAGTTAAAGACATCAGGATCAACAGGTGTGCAATTCCCAATATAGAAACACGAGAAATATATTTTAAAAAAATAAGCAACATGATTTCACCAAAAGTTCATATTTTCTATTAACAGCTTCAAAAAATATTAATATCAGTAAAATAATTGATAAAGAATCCCCAAAACTGGTTTTCAAGAAAAATCAATGACCTTTGAGAAAACACAAGAAAATAGTTGAGGAGAAAGACATAAAAATATAAAAATTTAAAACATTCAATAGAGAAACAAAAATCCTGACTTGTGGGGGGACTTAAAAAAGAAAGGCTTAACACAGTAACTTTCAAAATCAGTTAAAGCAAGGCAAGGGGCTGCTCATTTATAATCCTAGCACTCAAAAGGTTGAAGCATAGCAACAAATCAAGTAATCCAATTTAAAAATGGGGTACAGAGCTAAACAGAGAATTCTCAATAGAGGAACATCGAATGGCAGAGAAACACCTAAAGAAATGCTCAAATTCCTTAGTCATCAGGGAAATCCAAATCAAAACAACCCTGAGATTTCACCTTACACCCATCAGAATGGCCAAGATCAAAAACTCAAGTGACAACATATGCTAGAGAGGATGTGGAGAAAGGGGAACCCTCCTCCATTGCTGTGGGAATGTAAACTTGTACAACCACTTTGGAAATCAATCTGGTGCTTTCTCAGACAATTAGGAATAGTCCTACCTCAAGATCCAGCTATATCACTCCTAGGCATATATCCAAAAGATGCTCAATTATACAACAAGGACATTTCCTCAACCATGTTTGTATCAGCTTTATTTGTAATAGCCAGAAGCTGGAAACAACCCAGATGCCCCTCAGTTGAAGAATGGATACAGAAATTGTGGTATATCTACACAATGGAATACTACTCAGAAAAAAAAAAAAAAAAAAAA